CCCTAGACGTTGTAATCTTAACTCGTAAGACTTATTTTCTAGACGTATCACTCACTTGGTTACTAGTATCTGAACTTAGTCAAGGAGATTTGTATCTGCCTTGAAGAGAAGGAGTGCAACGACGTTGTGGACTATAATGTGAGGATTTGTGGATGTTTTGAACAATTCTTTGAACTCTGGGGAGACACTAAGGAGCTTACTTCTATTAAGGGTGCAGGAGCTCCGCATCAAAATGGAGGTATGTTCACGACATGACATTTCAACAAGTTTTAACACATCTACATCGCATTCCTCCATTGTTGTAAGGTCCTTTTCAAGTTAAAATAAATCCTTTACGGTTTCTATGGACCTCAAACGGCAAAGCGTTATTATTAAAATGTTTTGCGTGCTACTAGTATCTGAACGTGTCTCAAAGAACGCAAACTCTTATACAGAAGATGGGGAAATACATTCTTACGGATTAAAGGATGTGCATGGATGTGGGCCTTACATGATGTCACGAGTATTCTCAGAACTCAGCAGATTCAATGTTATCTCGCAACTGGTTTAAAACTACCTTTCGAAGAATCGGTGTTTTTTTATTTTCGTATCACTCATAATTGCTTGAAGTATTGTATTTTAGGGTTACCGATCGACATGCTTCTATTGGATATACTAATTACCGAAATACCTTTTGTTATCTATACATTATCATTGGCTAGTTGTTCTGTTATTGCTCCACTTTTATTTATCTAATGGCTCTGATGTGTATGTATTATAATTGATGATTAGCACTGCTGCGCGGTCAGGTAGTTAATGCATACAATCGCAACAGGTTTTGAGTTATGATGGCTACGGAAGGCGTCTATTTTCTCACTTCTTATTATCAGAGACAAAGCCAGTAAGAGGTCGTTAACCAGCCGTTACTGCATGCGGGTACAAAATAAATTGGCTTGCAATTTCTTAAAGTTACACTTCAAACCGTTGTTGTTTGACTGTTTCACCAATTCCTGGATGAATATAGAGTCTCATTTGATTGCTTTTGAGTTCGGTAGCTCTTCGTATATCTATGTCGTCTCCACTACGAAATATTGAGACGTCGTACAAGTATAACTTCTCAAACACTATTTTTCAAGCCGAACATACGACAACTGAGGAGATTTGCATTCAAAATTTAACTTTTGGAAAAGCTCAGAACACAGAGTACAGAACCAGGACGGCACAGTTCGTCCTTTACATACCGATATTATTTTATCTCCATCTCAAATGTGTTTTTCTGAAGTCCTAAACAGCCGATTATTGACTACGAAGATAGTATGGGCCAAAATACACAAGGATGTGCTTTTCACACAAGATCTGATGGATAGGATAGTCATGTAGTGGCAAATCTACAATTGTGGAATAAGGGCCATTATTCTAGTGGCAAAGAGAAATGCTCCTAATACCCAATAATCCTACATTGGTGAGGCCAGTTAAAGAACTTGTTATTAACCTTATGGATTTATTTTAACGTATGTTAATCCATTAGTCCATTATTGTGTTGACCAACGCTCACATGTGTTGTCTAAATTAAGTGATGTTATTCGAAGTCAACTAGCTTGCTCGATAGATCAAAATAACAAACCAACCAAGGTCATATGCAGATGTCATGGTTCTTTGACAGGTTTCAGCACTATGTAAGTGCTCCCGTGCAACAAGCGTGCCAAAATGTAAATCGCGAGGCATACCAAATATGCATATGCCTGTAAATTATTCACTTAGTACAAGCCAGACTCGATCGGCCGTCGATTACAAATAAATCTCCCAGTTTCTCCATTGTAAGGGCAATTTTTACCCAAAAGCTGTCCTCCACAAATTCTTCTTGATTGATCACTTCCTCGCCAATTTTCGATTTCTGAGTTCCATGGTCAAACGAAATACGAATGTGGAAAATTTATAATGAACTTAAACCTTTAGTTTCCCTAAGGCATAGATTTTGTTAGGACAATTCGTTCAGTCGACGATACATGGTGGGCCCAAACTATTTCCTGAACTTTTGCCGAATCAATTTATAGTGTCATGTGAACCCAAAGACTAACTCAACAGTACACCGTATTTAATCCAGATTCTCTTGAATTGTCATTAAATAAGGTAATTGACTCCTTCAAACCACAGTTTCATGACTGTGAGAGTAACTTAGGTGTCTCACAATTCCAGCAAATAATTTCGTACTACATTTGTCAAATCTCATAGATACTTTCACACAGATCGGTCTTATATTATACCACTCCCATCAAGTAGTTGAAATTTTATGCGCTGCTAGGCAGCATACAATGGATAAATGTGTCGCAATAGTTATCTGTGCCCTCTAAAATTTGATCTCATTAGTGTTTACCTTTTTTACTAACATGTGCTATCGCATGTCATACTAACTATTATCTCACACAGCAATCTACAATTCGACTCCATTACTGTGCGCATGTCATGGTTTCGTTTTCAATGTGTTTGTATGCGAATAGGGTTGGCAAATACTTAAAAGGCCTCTAAAAAGTTCCAGGATCCTGATCACAGTCTTGGTCTATGTGTGTATTTACGAATCTAACTGTTAAGTGACTATTAATCAAGCGAACATCCAACACAACTGTCATGATGTATAACAAGGTTACCTTTCTGTTATATTAAAGCACACATCCGGACTAAAATATAGTTATTCGCAGATAAATTATTATTATAACTAGTGAAGAAGTTCAACTTCAATATCGTACTTTCCACATAGGCTGTGCAGCAATAAACATTAAAATTAGGAATAAGTGATCGGCAACTCTCAATCGAACCGTGCAACCCATCATAAAATCCTGACTTAGCATCCTTCATTCAGAATATCTGAGGTAGCACTGGATGATTTCAACGCACTACCGACCCACCTGCATTAAGTCAGCTCATGAGCATGTATCGTTATTAGAACTTGAAAGTCATGTAAAAGTGGTTCATAAAATTGACCACTATAATGGCTTAATTACATCAGTGCACATTTGTGTTCAGTGATTCTCCGTCAGTAACACTCGAGGGATGGCAACTCCTGTAGTTTCCACACTTCTTTGAACATGAGGACAATAAAGCTTCTTAACAATGTTTTAAGTGCTCCTGAAGAATAAGTATGCGTAAAAATACGTCACACTTGGGCTTATAGAGAGCGTGTGTAAAGTGTCTTAGGCCCCCTTTCACGGCTCGACGACTGTAAAATCGAAACAATTCGACTACCATGTACGCCGAGTCAGATTAAACAATGATGCGAACTCACTGTAAGGTTATATGGATTAGGCAGTCACACTAAGCGGGTCAACCTACAGCATAAGCTTATGAATAGCGATTATAGCCCTTAGCCTAACAATAATGTTGCATGGTATTAAAAAAATGCGTATTTTCACGCTTTTCTAAAAACTTCAATTTAAATTTTGATGATCCTTGTCTCAACAATTTATGTTGAATAATCATAGGTATCACACTGAGGATGGATTAATCACTTTCCACTCAGAGACTTCAAGCAAATTAATTGACTAATCAAAGGATAAAGCGAAATTTTACGTTCACAGGCAACTAGTCACGCCAGTTGCTCCTCTGTTTTCTACAAAACATAAAACATAACAACCGCTCAGTCGATAAGCCACAAAAACTCACGCACTCTGCTTCTGGACGAAGATGATAATCTGTACACGGAAGTGAGAAGAGTGAAAACCGTGAAAACATTTCCTGAGAAAAGAAACTTTATCAAGGCCACATTGGCTAACTAAGTTTTTTTATATAAACCATCCTAACAAACTGATGTGTGGGCGAGAATGACAGCGATTGGTTGTCTTGATGAGTCAGACATTAGATAGGATGACAGGCGTTATGTGTTATATATATTCCCCTTTCGGTGTGGAAATATATTGACGTTATAGTCAGGCTAATCTCGTGTTCTTGATCTGAGTTGTGTTGAAGTCCTGTAGAATAGATACTGGGTGGGAATCTAGTGTAGATATTCGTCTATGGTAAATTAGCGTCCCACGTACGTGTAAAAGTGAAAAGGCCTGTTATAACCAGAACCCCTAGAGTTATAACAAGCATCCTTAAGTTTATAACACAAAATTCATACATTATTCTGCGAAGTGGCACACTTCAGCATAATGTGGCATGTAGAAGCAGCAAAATTAGCTGTGTAGACTATTAATTCCTAGCAATGTCCATTTTGCACCATGTTAGTCATGACCGAATAATTACGTAAATGAGAAGAGCCACAACAAATATGCTTGGTGACATGTTATTTTCTCAATTCCAACTAGTCTACTAACATATACAAAACGTTAAACGCTTCACGAAATCATAGCACATACTTGTCAGAGAAAAGAATTTCAGGTGGAGTCTGGTTTCATTACACTCGATCCAATGTCCTCTAGAATATTGTACTACCTTACATATTGTAAGTAGACTACTGCGGAAAAAACTTTATTCATGAATAGAAAACATTTCCGGGACCCAGAAACGAAATAAGATGATCTAATAACTCATTTGTTAGCTTCCATTATCTTCATACTATGAATTATCTCTTCGTTTACGGAAACCCTTATCAATATGAACACCAACATCAGAGCACATCGATAACGTATGAAAAACTACTACACCTCCCCAGTGGTGCTTACGCTCATGACTCTAGATTGCCAAATACACAATTGTCTAATGACATGCAAACAAACTAGATTCAGAAACCTTAATCCCACTTGAAAGAATAACTCTTTTGCAATAAAGACTATCAACATCCAGGTGAATATAGTATTCACACCCGACCATAATGCACAAACCCTGATATATGTGATCATTTTAACGCACAGAGAGGTGGATGCAAAAGTGCTGTTGGTGCACTGTTTGTTTTTACCAACATGCTGTTGAAGTATTGACTTTTTTCAACAAGTTAGGAAATATAAAAGACACAATTGACAATATTTAAAAGCAAATCTAAGAAAATTAAACCACTTTTCAGTAAAGGAAAATTGTTTTCTTGTTTTTCTTTATAATCGTCATAACAGCCTAACGCAAGTTTTTAAATTCTGATTCTGTAGCTCATTGAATCATCACCTTTTAGTTTCAATTCCAATAGCATTTTAATCTGATGTTTGTGTTATTTATGCACGTAACATATCGCCAATTTTATTAAATTTAAGGGAATTATGTGCGCTCACTGGGCCTTCGACAACCCTTTTCTTTTTTAATTCGCCTTTATCACGCAACTCTATATGTTACCCTAGTACACAAAGTACCTTCTGGATAAATACAAACCGGGACAACTCACAAGTCTTACAATAACAATGGCGGCAGTGGCCAGCCTAAAACATATTTTTGGTTACCGAACCGGAATTTCTGGATCTATAGTTTTTCTTGATGATCAGACTATTGTTTATCCATGTGGATCTAACTTAGTTCTCTACAACCTCGAGCAAAAAACGCAAAAGTTTATTGCAGGTTTAGAAAAGTCAGAAGGAATGACAGCTCTTGCAATCAGTCCAAACAGAAGGTACATTGCTCTTTCTGAGAAAACGCTGGATAAGCCTGTCGTAACCGTATATGATGTACACACTCTACGCAAGAAAAAATCACTTCACACCTCTGACAATCATTCCAATGAATTTGTCAGCATAGCTTTTTCTCCGGATTCAAAATATCTTGCAGTACAGAGTGGGAGTCCTGAATGGATTTTAACATACTGGTCATGGGAGAAACCAAAACAACTCGCTAGTGTTAAAACGTCCACATCTAACCCCATCAAACAAGTTAAGTTAATACATTCAAATCATTTAGCTAATTAGATCTCTTTCAGTCCCCAAGATTGTACATTAATATGTGTTGTTGGCACTGATATCATCCGTCTGTATCGCTATGGGGAAAACAATCTCAAAACATATGGCATAAATAAGGTTGAACCTCGAAACTTTCTTTGCCATACTTGGATTGGTGGTGAGAAAATTGTTGCCGGAACTGAGGACGGACGATGGATATTGGTGGAAAATGGAGAATCAAAATTGGAATATAACATCTCCGCTATAAATGAAAAAAATTGGGGATATCAGGAAAAGTATATATTGATCGTGTCCATATTTTTGGCATCAATGTTAAAATAGTTTTTTGAGTTTATCTTAGCTTTGAGCATTAGCCATATTAAAATTTTATCTGCACTCTTAGTTATTTGATAGCCTGGAATCGAGTTACTGGATATTTTCGCAATATGGAGATAAAAAACCCGGTTATTTACCCGAACGCATTTGCTTTTGTTCATATTCTACCGCATAACAGTTATACTTCATTAATTTGAAATGTGCGGCGATAAATGGGCATGTAAGCCGGCCAAAGCAAATTCGTCAAATAATTTATTGCAAAATGGCAGTGGTTTTGCTTAGGGACCGAAAAGTTCTATGAAATACAACTACATAATGACCATCATTAAACTAACAAACTAGCAAACTTTTACATTGATATTTTAGTTAGAACAAACTTAGGATAGGCACTCAACTGCTTGTTATTATGAATCACCGCGAATGGCACGTAAGGGTACTGAATTCCTCATGTCTTTATCTTTTTCTCTTTCCAAATTTATTTCACTGTACTATACTCCTTCAATAATTTATTTAAACCCCTAATCTTTTGGATTTCTGATTATACTCCTACTACTTCTACCACTATGGGATTTGAATCGACAACTGCATCTCTGTGCTAATGTGGTATGGCAACTCGAACTGATGTACATACGTACGAAGTTCTACGTTGTGACTGACTGACTGGTACTGATGAACTACGGTATAAAAAAAGTTGAAGAGGGAATGTAATAAAGGTGCGCAAAATTATTTTGTCTCAAAATCTCAACTAACTTCCATACCACCAACCTTCTGATAAACTAGTCTCAGCACCACTTCATTGATTTCCTGTCAAATATGAGCCATTAAAACTTACTTTAAAGATGAGAATTAAATCGTTCACAGGCCAGTAATTTAGTGAGTTAAAAGCTGAAATGGGATTCATTACGTCTGGAGATTAGTTAATAATGATGCAAATGAAACAATAACTAGAAAACGAGTATGTTAGTAATGGTGTATTAAAAGTATGTGGTTATAATTGTTTGGAGATGACAAAGACGTTTTTACATTTATCACCGCTAAATTAATGTTTGGTGTTGTATTTATCCACTCATTTGCGACTAAATACATAGTTTCGACTCTTTTTTGCCCTGATTAGTAGGCGGATGTAGATTACACAGTTTACAACTATTGAATTTGATAGAATTATATTTATCATATGTTTCACTAATCATCGAGTAATAGTAGAGTTGTTTATTATGAGTTACGTACAATAAATAATAACTCATTTCTTGTACCTTCACCAGGCATTTGATTTCGAGAGTTTATTGTGTTTTTAGACTTGGAGTTAATTTATTCAGTCAGTTAGTCATTAGTAACACCAAGTTCTCAAAATATACTAATGGTCTTTTGGAGTCTACAAATAAATACTAGTAACCCAAAAGCATCCCCTATTTCTAAAGGCCACATTTCATCTCAATAAACTAGAACAAAACAAACTGCCACGTGGCATACTCCTTTCTTAGCTGACAGAAGGATATCCCAACTACGGCACAAGTGGTGCAAGTTGGCAAATGCCAACTGAGCTTTCCGAATACATGTAGAAATTTTGTCAGACACCAGACCACCAGGGAAGATGACGCTTTCAAGTCGAGTGAAGTTGTCGATTTCTTGATGTACTTCACTTTTTATCATTTATTAAGACGATGATGTATGTCAGTCCTACAGCAAAAATTTGTTTTTAGAGGCTGAGGAACTCATTCAAACCATTCTTACATTATTATTTAAGTTGATCGGAATACTTTTTGTTCGGTCACTCTCTACCAAAAAAACTTTAATGTTCGTATATTCCAAATCAACATGCGAATTCCATAGAGATTAACCCTTAAAAAAATTAGCTGTATAAAGATTTTAGTCAATATTATTTTGAAAGAAAGATTGACACAGTGTGGTTAACTCATTTATAAATTTAGGCCTCATCATTCTTCATTGACGCAAGTTTTCCGTAATAAAAACTATTTAACTTTTTATCGTTAATTCGAAGCGTATTGCAAGGTTCTGGACATTTGTCATAGTAAATGAAGTATTGAACATGCAATTCTGTCACGTAAAAAGTAATTGAAATAGACTGATACTCTATAGGACAACAACTCGAAATTATAAAACGTTATTATGAAGTTTTATTATCTTTAATGGGAGTTATTTTATGTTTGGAGTCTCCTTTCTTAATAAACGTATTCGGTCTATTTTGTCCACAGTCTCATTGCTTATATTTTAAAATATTGAACGACTGAAATTCCCATGAATCAATGTAAGGACAACAAGGGCTGGTGAAATAAAGTAGTATTGAGTTTCCAAAATGACGCCCTAAAAAAAGTCCCGAAATCAAACCGTATATCACACCAAAATATTAAAATTTATGCATTAATTTCTACACACACGTAACGACCTCACATATAGGGGAAAGTACATGGAGTTACTGTAAAAGTCCACAGAATATAATCCACCTGAATTGATGTTGGAGATATAATTGTAGCAATGAATTTACGTCCATATTTGTCATGTTGAACGAACTTCATATTGACTTGGTACAAAGGGTATTTACCTTCAAAATATCATGCTGAACGAAGTTCATACCTGTCACACTGGGTCAAACCTCACGATGAGTGATCCAAGAAATAGTGATCTAAACAATTTTATCACATCATATCAAATTTTTGGTCTACAAGAAAATGATATGTTTATTCTGAGTGTCACACATGAACAAGTATCTCTGCCTTCTCGTCTTTATACCTGTTAACATGAAAGCTATATTTAACAAAATTCCTCATTTTTTTATAAACTTAATCACTTCTAAAAGGGGACAAATTATCTTCAAATAATGTCTTTCACTTTCATTAAGTTAATCTCCATTTGAGTTTATCAAAATTATTCACCTAACTCTGATTGTTTAATTGAAAGCATAATCTCATTAATAAACGACGTAGTACCTAAATAGATTTTAGTGATAATTATTAGTACACTTTATTTTACAGCAAAATTATTTTGAATAACAATGCTTATATAGTATTTTGATGAGATAGTGAATCTTTATCGACCTAAACGGTTGGGACAAGTATTATGTATATTCATCCACTAACTACCTCACTACGCGATGATGATTAGTGTAGAAGTAGATTGGAAGAAAGCTTGAAGTGACCAAAACAAGACAGAAGATTAGTCCATTGAGGCACTGGCTTCTAGACTGAGCAGATGCAGACCACTTGGTTGTAGTTTGTATGATTATCGTAACCAATTGCTAGATACCTTGACATAACTCAAAATTATCCTCGATACTGCAGACGCATTCAATCTTTATCTTTTAATAGATGCCAAGTTTCTAAATCCCTCATATTCTATTTATTTCACTAACTTATATTTTTTTCGAATTGTACCTTCGATGCCTAATCTTTTCTAGTACCATTAATACTATTACTTCATCTACTATTCTAGGATTGACCCTGATACCTTTATTTTGCCATATTAACTGGTTATGGCAATTGGAACCCATATACATATGTATTGGATTTTAGGCTGCGCTTGACTAACTGACCAACTATTATTCAGATACATATATATTATGAATTATAAATAGTGGTTGACATAACAATTTAATCTAGAAACTAGAAAATTTCAGAACATTTTGACTACTTATTATTCTATATAGTTGAAATCATCAGTCAATTGAAGCTAGACCTCCATGGAAAACCTGGAAGTGTTGGACGGCCGTTTCGTCCTATTGTGGAACCAGTGGAGTTCAACCAAGTCTGTTAGGAGATATCAAATCACTGAAGACATTGGTGAATGGTAGCTCAATTTCGTGAATTGGTTGAAATTAGACATTAACACCGTTGGATGTCAGCTCAGTGGTCTACAAGTTAGATGTTCGCGCGCGAGACTGATAGATCCTGGGTTCGAATCTCGCGAGGCGGGATCGTGGGCGCGCGCCGCTAGAGTCCCACAATAGAACGAAACAGCCGTCCAATGCTTTCAAGTTTTCCATGGTGGTCTAGCTTCAATTGGATCATGATTTCAACCATATAAAATCACTAAAATCTTCACAAAACCCCCTTTCTGATAATTTTTATTCATGTATTCTTTTCTTTTCGAAACAAAATCACACAAAAATTTCTTTGTTTTTAATTTCTTAGCAAAGATATTACACAAATAAAAACTAGTATAACAGCATTGGCATCAACATCAAAAGGTTTACTTGTAGCTTCTTCATCTGGTATTGTCTATTGGTTTGAGCATATTACTGTAGATCAAAAATTGCGTCAACAATCCCAACAACAAAATGATAAACAACAGCATGATAAACATGAAAAGAAACCTATAACTTCAACTAATCTAGCAACAAAGAGCACAACTAATCAAACAACCATCTCATCATCATCATTAAAGGATGAATATCAGTTACTAGCTAGTGTATGTTTACCTGAAGATTTAATAGTTAATAAAGATTCTGATTGTAATATTATTCCAATTATTACACAATTACAAATTAATCCATCCGAAGATTTACTTATCGCTGCAACAAATACTCATCAATTATACCAGTTTAATTTAAACAATATTGATACAAATATAAAGAATAGTGAATTAGCGGTAAAAAATGATGATATCAATGGTATCAATAAAGAACAATATAATCCAAGTGAAACAGTGAAATTCATTCCAGTGTCTCAATTATTTCATAATGGTCAAATAATTGGGATGGATGTATGTCTACGTAAACCATTAATAGTTACATGTGCAACAGATAGAACTGTAAGAATATGGAATTTTGAAACAAAGTATGTTACCAGTTTCTTTTCCATTTATTGAAGGTATGTTTAGTGAGACTGTAATTAATGGACGACCGCTGAACAATGCTAAAGTGGCCATGGATCATCTACATACTGAATAAAAAACAAACTAGTGTTATATATTAGTTTAAGAATTAGGATTTACAGTTAGATGTTAGATTCAAAATTCTCATCACAATCTGACATCAAATAGTATTCAACCAAATGAGTGAATGAACTTCGCGCTAAAATAAAAGATCTGTTATCTTAAATCTGATTGGTTCGTCCATAAATTATAGTCATTATTAGTTTGTTTGCTTATTGATTGATGTGATTGGTTCAAATGAGTCTGTAGATTTTGACTAATCTGACCAGGTCTATCTTAAATCTGATTGGTTCGTCCATAAATTAGAGTATCATAGTATGTTTATCGATTTGTTTACTTATCGACTGAGGAGATTGGTCTGTGGATGCCGATTAATCTGACCAGGACGAGAGAGATATCAAGGTCAAGATATCTCCAGATGATTGTTTTTATTTTTAGCCAAGGATATCTTAGCAGCACTGCCTAATTAGTACTTTATGCAAGATTGAACATAGGCCTCTCAAGTTTCCTGAAGAGTAAAATAGTTTTAAACAAGTGAACAGGTGTATAACGATTCCTGACGCCGAGTTCAGTTTATTGACAAAACAAATAACTGAAATATTTAATCCTACATTCTGGTATTTAGCTTCAATCAATTGTTAAAAATCAGATCCATACTATACCTACATCTTGAGATGACATCAGTGAACTATTTCAACTGTTATTGATCAATGTACCAAAAAAATTATGTAACCAGCTTACGAGACACTAACCAACATATACACTATGGTCAGTTTTCTACTCTCTCAGTCATCCATTATAGGTTTTGTGGTGACATTTATAAGTACGAGATTCTTTCATATTAGAAAAACTTATTTTCATAGTCAAAAGAGTATGTTATTTTGATCATTTCGATCACAAGTTCATCTTTGCAAAACCAAGCCAAAGTAGATGGATGAATCATTTCATCGTTTGATGATATAACGGTGACCAACATAACAGGTAATGACAAAGTTATTTGTGATGAATAAAACTTATTGATCATATAGAGCAATTATTTGTTCCGATTCTCGGATTTTTTTTTAACTATTTAGAATCATTTACAGTAATCTACCCATTAACAAATGAACGCAATAAGTTTATTGATAACTGAATTGTAAATAAGTAGTATATAAGTCAAATCATCTATACGATGTATGACGATTCTCCGTTTAATCCTGTGAAGCGGTTATTGGTTTATACTAGGATGAAATGTTGATCCTACCCGTTTTATAGTAGTTCCATGAGATTAACTAATCTATATTTTGCTAGTCTCTAAAAGCTTAAGTATAATACTAATAAGTTCAACCCATAAAACAAATTGGCTGTTTTCACTTATCGTATGCCCACTCGTCGTCTATCTCGCCACGTGATGTATGTTAATGTTTGAATAAGGTGAAAGAAAATCAAGGGTACCAAACTAAAACGTGTTATCAGTTCACGAAGTCAGTGACAATTGGTCTGAGCTATGACAATGAATTCAGATTACCTAGTTAGGATCAGTGCGAACAATTTTTGGGGACATTGAGTGACATGGTACTCAAGAGATTGCAACAACATAGACACAACTACTTAAAGTCTTCCGTTATATTCTATGTCTTTAAATTAACCTATACCTTTTATTTTACGGATTTTTCCGTTCATTTAGAGTCACATTCTTTTTGCCTTTGATAATACCCCTCCTAACACCTTGATATTCATCTTGGTAACTTCATCTTTTTGTGCGTACGTTGTATGGTAAACTGAACAGATGCATATACGTGGTAGATTTTGCGTAAAGTTTGACCGACTGACTTAGTCACTGTTCAGCCCAATTCACAGTAATAGCTGACTTAGATATAGGTTACAATACAGCTAGAGATTGTTAAACTAAGACATGAAATCAAGACATCATTGTAGGTCATAGCCATACAGAAAGCTGTAGATTTCTTGATTAGGACTCTGAAATGGTGAGGGAATCAGAAGTAGTCAAATGAGAAGGTCAGTTGATCTTAGTCAGAAGTTAACCTGAAGGACAAATGCATATCATTAGATAAGAAATGGATTGATCTTATATATATATATATATATATATATATATATATATATATATATATATATATATATATATATATGGTATCCTACTATACTTTCCCGTTCACTCTTGTGTTCTCGCTCAAGTAACCAGTTGGGGGGGGGTTAAGTTCGGCCTGATACATGTTGTTTATTAATATCATACGATTTCGGACATCACCTGTCATAATAGCTTCACACAATAATCATGATTTAAAATAATAATGTTTGTAATAATCATCTTATATTGTATATTTTGAATATATTTATCAGAAAAGGGTCTGATAGGTCCTGGGTTCGAATCTCATGAGGTGGGATCGTGGAGTTCCATTATAGGATGAAACCACCATCTAGTGCTTCCAGGTTTTCCATGACGGTGATCTACCCTCAATTGATTCATGATCTCAATTATATAAAATTCATTAATTTAATCTTTTCTTTATTATTTATTCTATAGTGATCTTGAATTAATCAAACAATATGCTGAAGAAGTATACAGTGTAGCACTACATCCATTTGGTTTATTTATTTTAATTGGATTTAGTGATAAATTACGTTTAATGAATATATTAATTGATGATTTAAGAATATTTCATGAATTTACAATACGTAGTTGTCGTGAAGTAAGTGAAATTTGTTACCATAGAGATAATTCCTGAGTATCATCTTCTCCTTTTTATGATATATTATCTTGATAGAAATGTACAATAGAAATCTTCAATAAATAAGAAGTTATAAATGATCTGTTCAACTTTAAGGGCTACGAAACGTGGTAATTAAGAGTAGAAAATACTCGTAAGTTACCAGTATTTAACCACAGATGTCTTAGAAATATTGCTCGCATCTCCTGGGGTAACCGGGTAAGTAATAGTGAGGTTAGACACAGGGTATTCAAGAATGGTGATAAATCAGTTGATGAGGTTGTACATTTTCATCGACTGAAATGGTTGGGCTACGTGTTACGTATGCCTGAACACCGATTACCACGACGCACAATGCTGATTAGTATTGGGGATGGTTGGAAAAGAGTTAGGGGCGGCCAAACCAAACGGTGGCATCAATGCTTGAAGTCATCAAGTTCTAGTCGGAGTCGTGTTGGTAGATGCAGACTACTTGGTTGGGGTCCGCATGACTATCGTAACCAATGGTTGGAGACTCTGTGTGACATGGCTCAGAATCGATCACAATGGCATAGGTGTATACACTCTCTGTGTTCCTTTACACCGTGAGAATAAAATTGCTTCATATCTATCTTTCTTCCTGTACTATATCCTTATATGCAATCTTTCTTTTATATATTGCCATCACTAAATTAACTACTTCTTTGAATTCGGTGTGAGTGAACAATAAGAAATTTTCACATCACCATACACCTAAAAGGCCATAAAGTTTATTAGGGTAGATTCAAGGTTGAAACAAATTATTTCTGTAAATACGAAAGGGGTTTGAATTAAAGAATAGCTAGGGCTTCTATAAACCTAAGAATTCGTCTTTGACATCTATTACAGGACGTTTTAGAAGATATGTTGATGTCAATTCTATGGTATGCTTTACTTATATATTTTACTATCGACTAACATTGTTTTCTACTTTCTATGTTTATCATAACATTTGACATTAACTAATTCTGAAGTTACCTGGAGACATGTCCCATAACCGTTTATTAGACTGTATGATTACTCCTCCTTACGTATATGTGTCCATACAAATGCATGGATTGGTAGGATGTGACTTAATCAGTTGTATTCTGTATGGAATCATGGAATTAGTTTTTTTCGACTCTCTTCTAGATGGTAAAGAGATATAAACCTGTTTCTTGACAACAGTATTGTGAAGGGATTTTAGTTTTAACTGAATTTTCACAAGTCCTTTGACAAGTTTATATATGACAAGACAATATGAAGCGTATAGTGCCAATACCTTAGATTTTTCAGATCAACTCTGTCTTTTCACTGGTCCATTAAAATTCATAGAAAAGCACTGATAGCTTTTAAATACAAACAATTTTATGTAAAATCGTTCTACCCTTCCTAATGATTGATAGTTATTTGTGTGGAAATAAATAAGGAATTGCATTGGAAAGACTGAGTTATAAGTGTAGTGTTGAGGTTATATAACAAAAAATTTTCGAAAATACTTTACGATTATGTTAAATAACAATAGGACGAAACGGTCATCCAGTGCTTCCAGGATTTCCATGGTGGTCTAGCTTCAATTAACTCATGATTTCAACTATATAAATAACATTTATTCAAAGATTTCACAAACTTCTCTTCATGAGGTGTCAAGACGTTTAATACTTCATCAAAAAAACACTAAAAGAAAGTAAACCATCCCATTGACTTTGTAAACGTTAGATTATAGCGGGTTCTACGACTTGGAGAATGAAACACTTATGTGTTCGATAAAAATGTCAGTAATTAACGAGAACAAATTGATCTTTGTTTCAAAGGTTTACACAAGACATCGTATAAGCATGATTAACTGACAGGCCGTCCAAACAAAGCAGAGACTATAAAGATAGTTCTAAAGAAATAAGAATGCACGATGAGAAGAGTAAAATTACTACAACAGCGAAATATCAGTGCAAATAACGAAAATAATTAGATCACAACATAGCTATCCAGTAACATGTTCAGTATAAATTTGATTATATATTATCAAGCTACTGAATAGTAGTCAGTAGCGTGGCTCGTTATACAAAAAGATGACCGGAGGGGAAATGATGTGAATGAGTTTTTTTAATCATTATGAGAATATGAACTAACTGTTCTTCATCTATTCACCATTCAATCCGCATCAACTTTTTATAACTGTCGTCCAATCTGACTTAGAGTGTGTATTTGTTTGATTTATATTCAGATTTTGAGTATACATGATGGATATGCAAATGGTTGATAAGTTACGAGATAAAATCGGGAAGTAAACAGTTGCTTGATGAGTACTATTTTCATATGAGATCGACTTTTGGAGTTAGCTTATATTTATTCAAAAAAAGATCGGGAGATCTTGATCAAATATTTACCTGATACAGATCATTGTCCTTATTCATTTTTAGCTAAATTAACTGACTACATTTTTTACTTCAATTGATACTATTGAAGTGAACGAGAACACAAGTGGGGACAGTCGGATGTATTTGAACACAAAATTACAAAGTCTCTTAATAAGATTTGAGAACCATACAGTACATACATACAGTACATATCGAGGCAATACGCACAGTATACACATATGCCAATTAGAGATTGACCAGTTGCAGTCCTAAAAAATCGATGGGAAGATTCAAACAAACAATACTAAATTCATTTAGTACATACTTCGTTTACAAAATGTCAATCAATCGTTTCAAATATGACTGTTCCTTCTGCAAATATCAGTCAACCGTCTCAGACTTCATTGTTCTTTCAACTCCATAACAACCATTCTTTGTTCTCGTTCTTTTTTCTTTGATCTTCTTGACCTTCTGTCTCCAGCTGCTTCACTGTCGACTGATGATACATACTACTTATATCTGTGGATATCACTAGCACACACCAAACTATCATTGTTTTGTTTACTTGATTTTCATTTAACTGACCGTTTTGTACACTGTAGTTATGGTAAAATGTAGCAAGTTGGCTGGATTTAACATAAATTAGATGTAATATGAGTTGGAATTAAAGTCACCTAGACTTCAACAATGATAATTTGACTGAGTTCAAAACATAAATATCATGATTTTTAAATCATGGAGGGAAATGTCTTAGCTTGGATGGTTGTTGTTAGATTACATGGATCAGATTGTTTCATTACCAAGCTTTTATTATTGTTCTGGACAATGTAGACTTTCGCATGAAGTAAACGCTAACGATGCCTATCAGCGATACTTTCTAGTTCGGAGAAATCATTCATACCTATACAATATACTTAAATTCGATCTTTCGTATCATATTAGAGTTACTTTTATTATCATATTTAAATGTATTTAAAAGATTTGAAATCAAGTAACCTAATTTAAATCTGAAGACTATTCGCTCCTTTCATAGTTGAAAGCATGAGTCAATTGAAGCTAGACCACCAGGGAAAACCAGGAAGCACTGGACGTCCTTTTTTCCTATTGTGGGACTTCTCAGCAGTGCGCATCCACAACCTCGCTATTTATCAGTACAAATGCTATTAATAACACTTAAAAATTCCAAGCTTACTCGTTGATAAAACTGAACGAATCATAAGACACTATTTGTACTGGTTACTAGTCTAAACCTGATTTGAATGTCATCAACAGTACGTATTAACAACATTAATACGATATTTAGCCTACAACACCTACGTGTCGTATTGATCAATATTTTCTCTGTAACACTATGTTGCAATTCAATATCAATATTGGGATTTGTAAAGATTATAGTATTTTAGCAGTTAAATCCATGAGTCCATCTAGGCTAGATCACCATTAAAAACCTGAAATCACTGGTCAGCTGTTTCGTCTTAGTACAGGACTCCTCAGCAGTGAGCATCCAAGACCGCTCACACGGGACTGGAACCTAGGACCTTCGGTCTCGCGTGTGGATGCCTAACATCTAGAACACTGAACCGGTCGGCATCCGACGGTGTAAATGTCTAACTTCAACCGATCCGTGATCTTGCTCAACCTTTCGTCCATTATCTGAGGTGGGTAACTGTCTTACACCCGACACGGGATGAACTTCACTGGTCACAGCTTTTTTTAATACAGTGCTATCTTTACAAATGTTTAACTTACTGTATATTTAACTTTTGCATCATTTTTTTTCCAAAAAACTAGTGTGCTTTCAGTAATGGTGGACATTTAATTGGGGCAGTCAATGGAAATGTTATACAAATTTATTCAACGACAACATTTGATAATCTCATTAATTTAAAAGGTCATAATGGTAAAATTCGTTCTATTATTTGGTCAGATGATGATTATAAATTAATTTCATGTGGATTAGATGGTGCTGTTTATGAATGGGATACACAAAAAGGTTTGTAATCCATTTTAAACAAATAGAATAATTAAGATGATATTCAGAAGGGGATTTGTGGAGATTTCAGTATTTTTCAAAGTTAAAATCATGAGTCAATTGAAGCTAGACCACCATCGAAAACCTGGAAGCACTGGACGGCCATTTCGTCCTATTGTCAAACTCCTCAGCAGTGCGCATCCGCAACCTACCAGTCTCGAGCTGAAGCTCTTATCCAACGGTGTTAATGTGTAACTTCAACTGGACACCAGCTCAGTGGTCTACCGGTTAAGGGCTTCGGCTCAAGACTGGCAGGTCTTGGGTTCGAATCTCGCGGGAGCGGGTTCGTAGATGCGCACTGCTGAGGAGTCCCACAATGGGACGGAGCGGCCGTCCAGTGCTTCCAGGTTTCCGACGGTGGTCTAGCTTCAATTGATTCATGATTTCGACTTTAAGATGATATTGTTATCATTTGTAATTATTGATCGAGTTAGTTAAATACATTTACTATGGAAGAGGCATGTAGTACGAAAGTTGATTCATTGACAAAGTAACTGATACCAATGGCGGATTGGAGAGAGGTCAGCACTCAAGGAACACAAAAAGAGGTAATACCTAACAAAATTTAACGATATAAGTAAATTCCATAGTGTATGTTATAACTTACAGGATAAAGTAATCCATTGATGTTGGGGTCAATTATATGACATGAACATGTTATCAACGTTACAATCCCAATACAAATGGATACAAATCACAATTTATGGGATGTTTAAAGCGTTTATCGTTTCAATATACAATCAATCAGCAAATTATTCTTATATTAATTATGTATGGATTATATATAGTTGAGATCAATAGTCAATTGAAGCCTGATCACCATGGAAAACTTGGAAGAACTGGATGGCCGTTTCGTCATACTGTGGGACTCCTCAGCAGTGAGTATTCAATAAACTGAAAAATCAGTAAATAAACAAGGAATGAGAGAACATTATAAAGATACTACGATGAACTAACAACAAGTACATGAATTGTTTGTCATCAGTTCATGTTAATATTTGAAAATATCATACAACAATGAAAGATATCATTGTTAAGATGGATATTGGTGAAGATTTGTAGTTTAGGTGGTTTTATTTTGAACAACATTGTCAGTAATAATTTTAAGTACTATTTATTTATTTATTTAAACGCATAAATGTTGGTACAAAGGAGCACCGGATATATATGCGCCACATGAATCATTCGATTTGTGTGAGGGCTGTGATATTGACCGGGTGCCCAAACAGAAGCAGGTGATTTTCTTAGGCGGCCATACTCCGAACCTATGACCTACAGGTCTAATCCACAAGACAGTGGAACAATGTAAGGAGATACAGTTCCATAGTAGCCGGTGACCAACAACAGGTTCATACGCCATTTGTTCTTTCAGGATCGTGGTGCTCACGTGCACCAGTGGTTTGGGATCAGGGTTTTCCAACTCGCCTTGGTGGACTCTCCGTATCCACCAACCCGGTTGAAGCGCCAGACATTCGCTTTTGGTCTTCTCAATTTCGTAAACAACACCCGTGGTGTGAGAAGGCAGTGAGTAGGACTTCCGTAGCAGAAGCTATATACACGTGTCCATGTGAGAGCATTTCGGAGGGGGGGGAGAGCGAGCATTTGAGGGAACAAATTTTAAGTAAAAGTGAATTATTTGAATCTCCTAGCATACGACTAATAGTTTATCTTATCAATCTTCACCTTGATTAGTTATTGTTACCACTAAGCTATCATTGTTTGTATATTTATTTTGATTGTCTCTCCTTTTAACGTGATCCTCAATGTTTTGTGATCTGTTGATAAATCGGATCTATTTCAATGTGTCTGTTAAAGCAAACATATGACTGGGGTGTTTAGTTATGTTCATTCATTCAAATAGTTGGTCAGTTGATACTGTAGATTGAATATAGACATCAAGTTCATGATCAATTTATTTCAACTGCTGACCACCTCAATGTGTTCAACTTGAACTGTTGACCAGATACAGCTCATGACCTTTTCGATAAAAACTGTTATTCAGTCTTCCATTTTTATGATCGGTTAATCCTAAAGACTTCATGTTCAGTCTTATTTGGTTCGTCGACTTGATTAGTAGTCTTTGGTTATAACAGACAGCTACAACAGTGTATTGATAAAGTTCCAACAATGACATTAACTACTAAATATTAGTAAGTAATATAATTACATACAGTAAAACATTGAATTAAAAAAGAAACTTTTTCGACAATAGTTAACTGTCAATCATTTTCATGCATACAAATTTCAAATCAGTCTTATTTTGATTGTCCTTCATCATATAATGAAGTCGATTTGTGACTTCCTATGTAATCGCCCTTCTTATTCTATCAAAGAACAAACGAGCTAGAAAATATACCAACCATCAGAATGATTTTTACTTGAATTTTACAGTAATTAAACTCATGATAAGTTGAAAGCTTTGTAGAAAAGGTATTTCGTGTTATAATTATATAAAACCTAAAATAGTGAGTTGCTTTACAATATTAACACAATAGAGAAGTAGACAGTACAGAGAATAAAGTTGGATATAACTCGCCCTTCCTTCTCCCCTGAATGCCCTGGTACTACCGAGAATAGGGAGGGTCAGCTCTCCCCCTCGAAATGCTTACATAACCACACGCATATCGCCACCAACAGAAAATTCCTACTCACGGTTGATGTGTTGCTTACGAAACTGAGAAGATAAAAACGGAATGTCCGGCGCTTTAACCAGGTTGGTGGATACGGAGAGTCCACCTAGGAGAGTTGGAAAACTTTTATCCCAAACCAATGGTGAACATGAGCTCCAGTATCCTGAAAGAACAAATGGCGTATGAACCTATTGTTGGTCACTGGCTACTATGAAACTGTATCTCCTTACATTGTTTCACTGTCTTGTGGATTAGACCTGTAGGTCATAGGTTCAGAGTATGGCCGCCTAAGAAAATCACCTGCTTCTGTTTGGGCGCCCGGACAATATTCCAGTTCTCACAAAATCGAATGATTCATATGGCGCATATATATTTCGTGTCATTTTTTTCCAGTTAAGGAATAATGACTTAACAAAATAAGTATATTTTAATAGTTGGATTCATGAGTCGATCTAGCCTAAACTATCATTGAAAACCCTAACCCTTCCACGTTTTCAGTGATAGTCTTGGTTAGATCGATTCATGAACTCAACTATTTAAATTACCATAATCTCCACCAATCTGTATCCTGAAACTCGCTAGTCCCACTGCCTCTTTATGTCTTCTCCAGTTCAACTGCTCTTAAGAAGTCAACTATATTGGATGAACGAACAGGCAAATACACTATCGTCACGTCACCCTATCCTGATTGATCGAAAGAGAAAATAAGATAAAAAGAGGCTCTTTTGGAACGCTTATTAGATACCGATTGCCATACCAATACAAATTAAGCTTTCAAAGTTATTTACAGAATTCCACATAAATTGCGTCATGTTCCTAGACTTTACCTTCTACATACAACAGAAACCATGGATAACATGGGTGATCCAAGCGGTTAGATCTTGTTTCACATCCATTAGGGTTCAAATTGATTACCTCTTTCAAGAAAACATTGTCAAATTAACAAACCACCATTTATTTAGCATTGACAGCGTGTTTTGGTGGGAATATTCAATAAACTGAAAAAGTGAGTAGTTGTATTATCTAATCCTAAGTTCTAATCGGACTGTATGTGCCAAGTTCCAATACAGTAATTAATATAAGTGACTCAATATTGCATACATTGTGCTTTGACTGTATATACCTGGAGGGAATTGACGAAACATCAATCCTCAGAATATTTAAGTTACCCCTTGTCTGTGAGTTTCAACTAACATTAAACCTTCGTTTAGGGTTTTCTGCTGATTATCAGCTTAAAATATAAATGAATAAACCAACAAATACAATAAGCACTGATTATTAATGTATTTATAATCTGAGTCCTAACAGCAGTACACAGTCACGACAACTGAATGTTTTGAATTTCGAGTACACCCACTAACTAAGAGTTCGCTAAAAATTGCACTGTATACGCCAATCAACGTTTGTCTACGGGAGTTTCCACTTTCTTAAACTACTTTTCAGAACACTAGAAAATCCAGTAAAGTACCTTGTATTATTTCGGACCTTAAGCGTGCGTATCAGTATCATCTCTCAGAGACCACATTTCACATCAGCGAGCAAATAGACTATATACAAATGGATTCTTCGAGAAATAATCTCCAAAGTTTCAAACTCTTTTCCTTCGCCCATAGTTTAGCAATACCTTTCCGTATACCGTCATATTTTCAATAAAATGACCATACTCATCACCTATCCTGTTAACCTTCAGCATCAGTTACATTTACGCATACTTCATTAATGATTATAATAAGCCAAGTTGAATAAACTTGATAATTCTATTATCTTAATAGTTGAAATCATTAGTCAATTGTAGCTAGACCACCATGGAAAACCTGGAAACACTGGAAAGCCGTTTCATCCTATTGTCAAACTCCTCAGCAGTGCGCATCCGCAACCCTGCCTCGCGAGATTCGAATCCAAGACCTATCTCTAAAACATTGATCTCGCATCCAGCTGTGTTAATGTCTATTATCAAATTATTTATTCTAATTGTGACTTTTGAAGTTATTTATATTTAATTCTTAATTTATAGGTACACGAATTAATGAGAATGTGTTAAAATCTTGTAGTTATACAAGTGTAGCTGTTTCACAAGATGCTAAAACTGTTTACGCTGTTGGTTCAGATAAGACATTAAAAGAAATAAGTGATTCACAAGTAAGATATTTATATGAATAAATAAACATTTTACTTATAAATATGATAATACAATGTGTTATCCTAAAATAAGATATAAGATTGTTAGCAATGTCATTGGTAAGCACAGATGGATAGTGGCTAGCAGTGGAATCCAGGACGCGCTTTCGTCCTATTTGGGACTCGTCAGCTGGATGTACCTGTATCTCAGAGTTGATGTTCACTCTGGGACTCGAACCCAGTACCCTCGCTTCAAACGCCATAGCGTTATCCACTCGGCCACTGAGTCCTGATAGCCACTTGCTTGTGCGATGGGGTGAAGTTTGAATTCACTTAGTATTGTTTGTTTGGATCTTCCCATCGATGTGTTTAGGACTGCAACTGGTCAGTCTCTAATTGGCATATGTGCATACTGTGCGTATTGCCTCGATATACCTTAATTCACAAGCATGGTAAGCAGAGATGGATAGTGGCTCGCAGTGGAATCCAGGACGCGCGTGCCAATTAGAGACTGACCAGTTGCAGTTCTAAACACATCGATGGGAAGATCCAAACAAACAATACTAAGTGAATTCAATGTCATTGGTAGTTAATCTTAGCCGTGTAGATTATCCAGTTAAGATTTACTTAACCATACTGACAAATGGTTAGAGATCTTGAATAATATGATTCAGATTCAATCATAATAAAGGGGGGGTGCATTTTATAATACTAAAACTACCACTTATCTATTAAATATTTGACTTTATAGTATAGAAGTTGGATAGTGACTAACAATAAAATTCAGGACTCACAAATCATCTTGTTTAATACTCTTCATTGAATATATCTACATTCCTGTATTGATGTCCATACTGTAGTTGATCACTTGATGTCCTTAACATCAATGACAGGAAAATATAACCCTTTACTAATTAAATAAATAATGGTTGAAATTATGAATCAATTGAAGCTAGACCACCATGGGAAACCTGAAAGCACCGGATGGTCGTTTCGTCCTCTTGTGGGACTCCCCAGCAGTGTGTATCCACGATCCCGCCTCACGAGATTCGAACCTAAGACCTATCAGTCTTGTGCGCAATCCCATAACTCATAGATCACTGAGACCACGTGCACTGGTGTTGATGTCTGACTTCCACCAATCAACGGTATTGAGCAACCATTCACCAATGTCTTCGGTGAGTTGATATTTTACAACAGATCCGGTTCAACTTCACTGGTCACTGCTTCTCATTAGAATTCCAGGAAATATCTCTTGAAGTCAGTCACAGACAAAAAAATATGAGATAACATTTCAATTCAATTACTATAACTCTTATTTATCTATTTCTTTCATTTTCATAAAGATTATACATGAAATACAATCAAATGATCAATTATTTACAACCGTAACCATTTCACGTTCTAATCGTATGTTATTTTGTGGTTGTCAAAATGGTTTAATTAGATCATATCAAATGCCATTAACAGATCATTCTAATTATCAAGATTATATTGGTCATAGTGATAATATAACTAAAATGAAAATGGCATTATTTGATGAATATTTAATTACTGTATCGAATGATTGTTCAATCATAATATGGAATATACAAGAACGTGATGCACGTTCAAATAAAACGGATAAAGAAAATATATGGATGGAAGAAATATTAATTACCAAGTCAGATTTAGAAGAGAAAGTAAGTTAAAATCTATAACTTACTTGATTTATTTACCTTCATATGTCGAGAGAGAAAGGGTAGTCAGATGGGGTTTTGTGGAGATTTCGGTATTTTTTTTTTAAAGTTTAAATCATGAGTCGATTGATGCTAGATCACTATGGAAAACCTGGAAGCACTGGACTATCGGTTAAGTGCTCTGGCTCGATACTGGTAGATCCTGAGTTTGAATATCGCGAGTGCGGGATCGTGGATACGCACTGCTTAGAAAGAGTAGTCTTAGTCTAGTGATAGTATGATGTGCGTCACTTATATCCATATAAGTAGTATATAGTGATGGTTAGGCATAGAATGTTTTTCAGCTGAAGATCGATGAGGAACGAACAGGAATGAAGCGCAATGAGTACGAAAATGCATGAATAATGAAATCAGAGAAGATGGACTTATATTTGCAGAAGGAACAGTTAAGATTGAGAAAAATGATTGTTATTTCGCAAATCAAGTGTTTCTTGTATAATTATCAGATTTTAGTGAGATAGTTTGTAATTTATGCTCAAATACATTCGAGTGTCCCTATCCGTGTTCTGTTCATTATAGTAGTTTTAAAGTGTCAGGTTAGCTAATACAACCTTGAAACTTGTATCAAGTGACTTCAGCTTGTGGCTGAACAACTTTGAGGACAAAGAGAAAGTAAATTACCGTTCCATCGACCTGAGTGATTGGCAAGTGAAATTGGAAGATGAATTAGCTGTGATGTTCACTCGACTTATTCATGATATCGATTGACTAGAAATGATATATGAATAAATATATAACTAGTAAGAACACAACGCAAAAGGGAATAATCTAGGTTAATGTTAGAGTAGAAAAGTGAAGTACAACTTTCACTTCGAAATTACAGCAATTGTGAAATAGTAAAGAATAGTATATTAAATGAAAGCTTATAACTCAAACAATAAAGGAGGTATCAAACTAAATGTTAGTACTTTACCAATTTAGAATTCAGCGAAAAATTGTCCGGAAAATGACGTTCATTGTTTACCAATGTTTCTTTATTCCTTTCTTTACATAAAAAGTTCTATATATGAAAGATAATTCTGCCGAAATAATATTTATTCATTGATCATATTCTTTGAAAGAGATCCTTGATCTGTCTATCCAATAATATATAGCAGAGAACTTGTCTCGATCTAGGTTTAGGGTTAAGACACGATAGAATAACTAGTTTAAGCTTAAGGCTAGAAATGCATGAATCCAAATTGAGGCTAACTGCGTTGAGTAAAGAGATCAAAACTATTCTATCTCCTGATTGGTTGATAAGCGAGCGCGAAATAAAGAGAAAACGAATGAACCATTATGTTTAACTCAAGTCAATGTTAGGGTAGAAAAATGAAGTACAAAGTTTATAATAGTTATATTATATTACTGATTAAAACTATAAGTAGTTAAACAAAATTAGAAGAAATAGTATCGTATTCAAATCAATAATAAGTGAATTATATTTATACGTATATGTGCGTGTGTTTGTGTTATGGGTAACTTCTTGGATCTATTTATGGACTAATACTTTATGTGTATATTCCTATTGTATAATTATTCAGTGATTAGATTGTATGTATCTATATTTATCTAACTATCTATCTTTCTATTTATTTATTTTATTTAACTAAAATAACTCATAATTTCATTGAATAAGAAAAAGAGATTTCAGTGAAGAAAATATTCTTTTCGACGAAATCATTTACTTAAGCTATACATTTGTATATATAGAGATATGGAAAATATATATGTCTATAGGAGGCTAGAAAAGATTGCATTATAAATTGATTCGACAATAAATCTGACCCATATATTATTTTCTTCCTTACCCCTTGATTAGTACATTACATCATTTGTTATTTATTGTCAAATCCATTTATAATGCAATCTTTTCTAGCCTCCTATAGACATTTATTTTATTTATTTATTTCTTTTAGTAGAAAGCATGACTCAATTGAAGCTAGACCACCATGGAAACCCTGGAAACACTGGACGGCCTTTTCGTCCTATTATGGGACTCCTCAGTAGTGTGCATCCACGAACCCGCTCTCGCGAGCGAGATTCGAACCCAGGACCTACTAGTCTCGAGCCGAAGCCCTTAACCGATAGACCACTGAGCTGGCATCCAACGGTGTTAATGTCTAACTTCAACCAATCCACGATATTGAGCGACCGTTCACTAATTGTCCTCAGTGAGGTGATATCTGAGCATATGATATCGAAGAGTCCCATAATAGGACGAAACGGCCGTCCAGTGCTTCCAGGTTTTCGACGGTGGTCTAGCTTCAATTGACTCATGATTTCAACTGTGAAAATTTATTTATTTGTTTATTTATCTATCCACACTATCTATCTATCTATCTATCTATCTATCTATCTATCTAACTCATCTACCTATCTATGTATGTATTTATCTATTTATCTATTTAGAATTCAATTATGAATGAATTAAAAACTCGTATAGAAGAATTAAAATTAGAAAATGATTATCAATTACGTATAAAAGATATTAATTATAATGAACGTATAAAAGAATTAACAGAAAAATTTATACAAGAAATGGAAACATTAAAAAATAAAAATCAATTATTAAAATTAGAAAAAGATAATAATCAATTAAATTATAATAATCAATTAAATAATTTATTAAATAAACAAAATAATGATATACAACAATTACAATTATTATCTAATCAAAAATTAATTAATGAATATAATAAATATAATGAATTACAATTAAATACTAAAAATAATGAAATTAATTATGAAAAACAATTAAATAATATACAATTAAATCATGAAAATTTATTAAATAATACAATTAATAATTATGAATTAAAATTAAATAAAAAAAATCAAAAAATTAATGAATTATTAAATCAATTAAAACAACAATTAAATGATCATAATTTAATTAAATCATTAATTGAACAAATTAATGATCAAGAAATTTTACAATTAATTATTAAATATAAAAAATTATTTAATAATGAATTAAATTTAAATAAAAAATTAAAAAATGATTTAAATTTAATACAAAAACAATTAATTAATTTACAAAAAATTATTGATCAATTAAATTTAGATAAAAATAAATATAATATAGAAATTAATAAATTAAATAATATTATATTTAATTTAGAAAAAGATTTACATAATTTACATAAAGATATACAAGAACGTGATGATACGATACAAGATAAAGTAAGTGAATATGTAATAAATTATACATGTATATATATATATATGTGTGTGTGTGTTTGCGTGTGTTTGTCTGTGTTTATATATGTGTGAATGTGTATGTATATAAGTGAGTATGTCTGTTTATGTAAGTGTGTGTACGTCTCTGTGTGCATGTGTGTTTATGTGTGTATATATACGTGTATGTTTGTATGTGTATGCGTGTATATCCGTACATATATATATATATGTGTGTATGTGTGCATATGTGTATGTGTGTGTATATAAGTATGTCTGTTTATGTATGTGTGTGCATGTGTTTGTATTGTATTCTAATTCTGATTAGAGTATGGGTATCTTCCGGAATCAATTAATGAACTAATACCGTATGTGTATATTTCCTATTGTATAATTATTTAGTAACTAGATTGTGTATATCTATATCCTTCTTATTATAAGCTTCATTTTGATGTATAGATTATTATTATATGATTTACTGTTCTTGAGTTATGCCTAGTTAGTTGATTACAATCTCTCACGATCATTTCCACTTTTTGATTTGATCTTGTATAAATGGTATTTCTCATTTTATGGTGTGATGTGATCTGTTTAGCTGGTATATAAACCAAGTATATTTAGAAATAAATGACTCACATAGTAAGAGTTATTATTGGTGTTCTGGACTCAAGTGGAAGGACTAGGCGAACAAAGGAACAATAGAGACACTAGACTACTCATACTGGTCGGTATTTCATTGGTTTGGCACAGTACCAAGGTTGTATAAATCGTATTTCGATTGATGAATAAATCACGTAATAAAAAGGTGGACTTTAAATTCACAACAGTTTGTTTGCTTGTTTCAGTCAAGTTCTATACTCAGTCAGCTAAATATAGTTGAATGTTACCCGACAGTTGTTGCATCCTTGACATGGTAGTCGGCTTGTTTATCATGAGGAACCAATCGAGCTATACTGACTGGAACAATCGTTCCTCAAGGTCCTACCATGCCAGGCAGGTCGGTTGAAGAGCGGTAGGACTAAAAGCAGCAAACCCAAGGTCCGAAGGCGAAGTCGTACTGCCGACTGTACAGAGATGTGACAGCAGTAAGGTGTTTCCTTCAGACAACCAGCATAACAGCGATGCTGCCTTCCCACAAGGAGGGGTGGGGTTAGAAAAGGTCGACCATAAAAATGCTCATCTCGCCTTATCCTACGGATCTTCATCTCCGACGGTCTCAACAAATACGGAGCTAACACAAAAATTACCCACCAAAATGTCGTTTGTGACCGACTTCAAGCAGTTGTCTCTTGGGCACTGCGGTCACACTCTCAGGTCAATAAGACCCTTTCTGATCCAATTTTCTTTTCAGGTACCTCTATAAAAACCCTTCAATGGTATGTGCCACCGGGAAGTGATAACTACTCTCATACCTCTAACAGCACTCAAGATCACTGTATTTATAATCAATCTTCGATTCTGATTATTCCTCACACCTCGACTTTCAACACTAAAATCCCTCTTTCGGCTTCCTCAAGTGTTACCATGGCCAACGATTCTACTGAGCAAAACCTCGCTCCAAACTACATATTGGAGTCCTCAACGTACGTATCCTATGTCAAATCGACCATCAGGTCTCCTTGGCTGAGACCTTGGAATCTCGTACGATTGATGTATATTGTGTCTTCAAAACACGCATACAGGATCCTAGTGTGGTCATTCACTTGACGTTACCTCACCGAAATAGAGAGCCGATGAAATACACTTTCCGTGTATCTGGCTACCCGGTGGCTAGTTCTCATGAAGTTGCAGATGTAGGGATAGCACTTAGTAAGAGAGCAGAACAAGCACTATTAGAATAAATCCCTGCTAACAGTCGCATATATACTGTCCGGCTAAATGGCTCCGTAAGAACTCGGAAAGATTGGAACACTCGTCGTTGCCTTTTCGTCATATCTGCCTGCGCTCTCACTGACTGCTGCCATGATTAATTGAAAGGTGACTTTAACAGAAAACTCTCTGAACTTTTTCAAAAAGCCAAGTGCTCAGAAATAGTACTCGTAGCGGGTGACATTAATGCCTAATTAGACAGATAAAATCAAACAGAGAAACATTTAAGTGGGTATTTTAGTATCCCGGCTCAGTGAACAGATAATGGTGATCGTCTGTTGCAGCTATGCTCCCTTAAGCCTTCAGAATAAAGATGCTTCATAACTGTCTTCCTTCTTATACTATATTCTTATATACAACCTATCTTTTATATATTATCACCACTAAATTAACTACTTTTATGAATTCGGTGTTCATCTTGTTGCGCTAATGAGGTATGACAACCTGGACCGATGCATATATATGCCTGGTCCTACGTTGTAGCTGACTGACTGACTAAACTGTCTTTTTTTTTACCGATATACCCATATAGTGAATACTTCACCTACAAAATTTCATTCAATCATTTGAGAATTCATTAGCCTTTCATTTTCACACAAATCATTCCTTGTTCTCGTTCTCTTTTCTTTGATCTTCTTAATCTTCAACAACCAGACATTACAATGTTCATTGATGATACATACAACTTATACTTGTGGATATCACCTCAGTAAAGGTAAACTGTTTTTTTTTTCCACTGTATAAACTATTCATCTTCATATAAAAATTAAATTAGTTTCCATCGACAACAACAAAATTTTTTTTTTTATATTTTAGGAAAAACGAATTTTAGATTTAAAGAAAAAAAATCAAGAATTAGAAAAATTCAAATATGTTTTAGATTATAAAATTAAAGAATTAAAACAACAAATTGAACCAAGAGAAAATGATATAAAAAATTATAAAGAACAAATACAAGAAGTAAATAATTTTAATTAAATACTTCATTCAATTTGTTAAGCTCTTTTCATAATCCTCACCCCAACCCCCTACCTCGATTAGTAATTCACCATGACAACTTGAATATGAAAGAAAAGTTATGTCATATACAAATGGATAATTTATTTCAAGTTTAGTTGATGTACAGTAAATTGAAAATATTTATAATATTTCAAATGGCTTTGAGCTTCCAGAAAGTTCTAAGAACCCTATTAATCAGAGTGACGGGCTAGGTAATCATTCAATCAGAAATGTCATACGTGAATCTACACTTTCTAAATGTTTCTGAGAAACTTCTATTGAATTCTGATTGGATAACATGATTTCCAGTGTTTTTAGGGTTCTTTTGAGATGTTTTTGAGGAATTTTCTAGGTTTCCCTACTAATATTGGGGTAATGTTTAGTGATTCTTTTGGTAACGGGAGGTTCATTAACAATGTGATGATAAGTATATCGTGTTGCTTACACAACAAGTGAGGCCAAGTGAACTAGCCTGAGCCATCTGAATCCCCACATTTTGTTTTTGTTATCCTACTAATATTGCAGGTCGAAAATACTTTATTATTTCTGAAATATGACCATGTACTGATGATTGATAACTAACCAATTGAATAACTTAGGATGTTTCGAATCAATAAGTGACCCAAGTTCACTCGATCATAACACAAATGAGTAAAAATACTCTCATATTATATAGTTGAAATCATAAGTCAATTGAAGCTAGACCATCATGGAAGATCTGGAAGCACTGGATGGTCGTTTCGTGCTAATATTTGACTCCTCAGCAGTGCGCATCCACTATCCCGCCTCGTGAGATTCAAACGCAAGACCTATCAGTCTTGCGCGCGAGCGTTTAACCACTAGACCACTGAGCCGGCCGTCATTCAACGATGTTAATGTCTAACTTCAACCAATCCATGAAACTGAGAAATCATTCACCAATGTCTTTAGTGAGTTGATATCTCCCAACAGACGTGGTTGAATTCCACTGGTTACTGCTTCTCACTAGAATTCCAGGAAATACCTCATAGAGCCTAGCTTTAATTGAGTCATGATTTCAACAATATAAAATTACTAAAAACTTCACTGAACCCCATTCTCATATTATATAAAACACACATTTCCATGTATCAGCCTGATGATCTTATCAAAGCCATTAGAATTACAATAATCTGACTGATGAAAATATTAACCAGTCAATGATAACCAAGTTAACTTATCAATGAACCGAGTAACCTTGAGTTATTCAAGGTTACTCCGTATATATAAGTGAGCTGATTGATTTAGTCCGCATACATTAAGTCATTCTATCCTAATGACATTGCCTGTGAATGGTTATCTTCGGAGGTTCCAACAGTTTCTCCTGTCTTTTTAATTTTGTCAACTATCTTTTTTATTCTACCTTTAGTATATATTAGTAAATAGGTGATATGTCGATATTATGATTGATTTGAGTATGATGCTATTTCTTCATATTTTTTCTAACTACTAATTTCTTTAATCAGTAATATAATTAATTATAATGAATTTATGGATTATTTTATTTAATAGATGGAAACTGAATTACAACGATTTCATAAACAAAATGATCAACTTGAAATAAATATAACTGAATTAAAACAAAAATATAAATCAGTTGAAAATGAATTAAAACATGAACGTCAATCAACAAGAGATGTAGAATCAATAGTTCGCCGTTTAAAAACAGATTTATTCAATGTTGTTGGATTAATACAAGAACCAAAACAATTAAAAGCTGGTATATTAGCATTATATAAAAAACATATACATGAAGATATGGTTAGTTAGTTAGTTAGTTTTGTGTTTTAATATCAAGAATGTTTACTTTTTCATAGAAAAAATCTAATTCACTAACTGTATATTATAGCTTCTCAGTATGTTAATGTGTTTCTAAGCAAAGATGGATGATGGCTAGCAGTGGAATCCAGGATGTGCGTTCCACTCATCTGTTAAATGTACCTGCCTCCTAGAGATGATATTCACTCCAGGAATAGAACCCTGTGCTTTTCGTTAGCACTACTCAGTATCTAAGTGGAAGTGGATAACTCTGTAGAGTTTGAGGCGAATGGTACTGGGTTCGAGTCCCAGTGTGAACATCAACTTAGATGCAGATACATCCAACTGACGATTCTGAAACAAGAAGAAACGTGTATCTTGCATTTCATTTCTAGCCACCATCCATCTTTGCTTAGATTGCTTGTGACTTCAGGCAATATCAAGGCAATAAGCACAGTATGCACATATGCTAAAAAGACACTGATCAATTACAGTAGTAAACATCAATGGGAAGATTCAAATAAACAATAGAAAATGAGTTTCTGTGTTTCGTTCACAGGCTAAAATGTAAATGAACAAAAGAATCGTCACGTTGTGACGTTGTATCCTAGTATTTCCGTAAGTGTTTTAGTAGAATAGTGTGTATTTATGATTTTGGTTTATCATTAATTATAAAGACAGTAAACAGTATTTCGAAGTGCATAAGTAACTGTACCAGTACACCTTTTTTCGTCAATACAAGAGATCAATGGTTGTCCTTCGGTTATACTACTATTTCTAATGGACTCTACTGAAATATTTGTTCCTCTTAAAATTGGGCTATTTTCTTCAGTTTCTTATCACTATAAACAACCCTGAGCATTATTTGTCCTTGACCGGTCTCTCTAGTTTACTATATTTCCCTGCCAGTTTCTTCTTTGTGTCATATAGTTGTTTCATATTTCCTTCTCTTGCAGCTTTTTCCGTCGTCTTTGCTAGTTCTTCCATGTATTTCCGCTTGTCGGCTTTAATGCTCTTCTTCACTTCTTTGTTTGCTTCTGTGTATTCAGCTTTCTGTGTTCTTGTTCGACTGGTGTTAATTACTATCTTCTTGCATTCACTTACCTGAATCTTGCACAGGGTTTCGATAAAGATCCATCCCTTATGATGATGTTTCTTGCTGCCCAGAACGTCCTGGCAATTTAAAGTTAATGCTTCTCTGATCTTTTTCCAGCTGCTCTACATCGTAGTTTCTTCTTCTTTGCATAGATCTTGTAACGCTTGGAACCTGTTGATGAGAGTTGATAAATTATCAATACTAACATGTAATTTCAGTCATGTTGTTACTGACTTTCATTATCTTATGGAATACCATTTTGAAAAAAAACTTGTGTGAATATAAAGATCCTATTGAGTATACATTAGTTTTTATAAATCTTTGGAAGAAATTCATCACATCCTACAAAAAGAAAATAATTAAATCAGAAATTAACACCCATGGTTGTCAGTTGTAGCCAGAATGGTTTAGAGATAACACTTTAGACTGAGAAATCGGTGGACATAAATTTTAATCACTCAGGAATCATATATTTTCATTAGGATATAGATGCTACTCGGTAGCGGGCCCTAACTTGCACCAAACCAAACTCTGCTAAGGTTCCTACTTATTAATTGTCTTGGAATTTGTAATATGAAACATAGTAAACCACAATATCAAAACGCTCAGATTTATGCCTATATTACAAAGTGACTAATCAAATCTAAGCAACACTCGAAACTAAGCATACTGTAGTGTTGGAGTTAAGAATCTGGGGATGAGATCGAAGATCCTAGGTTCTATTCTTACTTTTAATGTCATTAATTTATAAAAATAAATAACCATAGAATACTCTTTTTCAAATTTAGAATATTCAACTACCGATAGTAAGTGACTAAGACAAGATATTTGTATGTGTGTGTGTGTACTTTTTTTCAAAGAGATAATTGTTGTCTTTCGGTTTTCTTGTTGCTGTTGTTGTTGTTGTGGTTACAACTGTTAAAACATTTTGTGAAGGGGTTTCGTGAAGATTTAGTATTTTCATAGTTGAAGGCGTGAGTCAATTGAAGCTAGACCATCAAGGAAAACCTGGAAGCACTAGACGGCCATTTCGTCCTATTATGGGACTCCTCAGCAGTGCGCATCCACGATCTTGCACTCACACTTTTACCTATGAAAATACTAAATCTCCACAAAACCCCTTCTGATAACAATAATATGCTCACTAGTTACTGACTTCGAGAGGTAAATCCAGGAGTAGTTGTGAGAAGCAGATACCAGTGGAGTTCAAACCACGTCTGTTGTGAGATATCAACTCACTGAAGACAATTGGTGAACGGTTGCTCAACTTCGTGGATTGGTTGATGTTAGACATTAACACCGTCGGATGCCAGCTCAGTGGTCTATTGGTCAAGTGCTCAGGCGCGAGACTGATAGGTCCTGGGTCCGTAACCCAGCGGGTGCGGGATCGTAGGTGCGCACTGCTGAGTAGTCCCATAATAGGACAAAACGGCCGTTCAATGCCTTCAGGTTTTCCATGATGATCTAGCTTCAATTGACTCACGCTTTCAACTATGAAAACGATTTTCAGTTCGATGATTTATTAAACTTGAACAAGTTAAGAAACTATCATATATCGAAATAGGATTTAATGAGTGTTTTGTTATGGTTTGTAACTGTCTTGAGCTAAGCAGAAAGCAGAACTGATAAGTATTCAAGACTACTCATACGGGTTTTGTGTATCACTGCTCCAATCAATAATTCGCTGCTCTCTGTTTGGTGATCTCATAACGTCACATACATTAACTGGGCACTTAAGCATTCGATATAACAGTAACTTTTCAATGGTGTATAGAACCTTTAGATCTTACGACATTTTTGAATGAATTTATCGGCACACTTTTTTTTTTCTGGATCATCCCAACAATTCATTTTCGGTATCAAAATTCAGAAATTATATATTTCAAAGTATACATTACATTTTCAGAACACTAAGTCAATATCAAGCGATTCAAATTTCCAACTTTATTCATCATTTAGGTACTTTTCCAACCCTAACATGGTTGAACTTTTTCAATCAATTAGAATCATAATATCAGGTAAACGCAGGTGGGAATAAACTAGTCTCGTAAATTTTCTGGTTCATTCATGTTTTGCGAGGTAGTCAGTTTGAGTGAAATACTTTCACTGTAGTTCCAGACAGTATAGATTAGGGTTAGATAGTATAATTCCATTAAAATGTGTCTACTTTAGCTAAAAGTATTCTACATAATTCGACAATACTCCTATATAATCTTTGATATAATATGATGCACTTCATTAAATTCATATCATTTCTAATCAACCACCTTTATTCATAATTTAAGTTAGTAACTAAATGAAGCATAGTGCGAACTATTCACTGAATGATCGCGAACTACTGAATAATAGTAAGTAGTGTGACATGATCTCACAAAAATATTCAACCACGGAAGTAATTTTTAGTGGTAGATGATGTGAAAACTTGATTATCTTCCCCTCACTAATAAATTTATTCTTTACTCTTCTTTCTGACTTCTACATTCACCCATGTGATTTTACTTCGTTCTCTCACGAAACTTTTTAAGAAATTGACATGACAATTTTCTTTCTGGTTAGCGTTTTTTAGCAAGTTAGTTTTTCTACGAGACGGGGTCTCTAACCCCATGCTCAACCGTCTTCCTTTACCCGGGATTGGGACCGACAGTAACTCTAGAAGAGCTACAGGTGGAGTTAGACATGACAAATAACTTATCAAATTAAATATATTTCATAATTATTATCATTATTTCAACATTTTTTAACAGGCTGTAGATGCTACAGCTGATGCTGATATTCAAAAAGAATTCTTCAGACAACGAGAACATCTTGAAAGATCAGTTGCTGGATTAAGACAAAAGTTGGCGCGTGATAGTGAAATGCATCGATCCGATTATGTTCGTATTATGCAAGTAAGTAGTGATTTATTTAATTATGTTTCTGCAAATACATACATTTTTTTATATTTTCAATTATAGATAAAATTTCATTATAAAGTCAGTATCCATTAGAGAATGGTGCTAGGTCGAGAAGAGAGAATATAACTCACTTACTTACTTAATTATGCCTGTTACCTTAAATGGAGAATAGGCCGCCGACCAGCATTCTTCAACCCACTCTGTCCTGGACCTTCCTTTCTAGTTTTATCCAACCTTTGTTCATTCTTTTCATACCTGTTTCCTTTTCTCAGCGTAATGTGTTCTTTGGTCTTTCTCTTCTCTTTTGGCCTTGAGGATTCCATGTTAGGGCTTGCCTTGTGACGCAGTTGAGTGATTCCCTCAATGTGTGTCCTATTCACTTCCAGTGCTTCTTCGTGATTTCATACTCTGCTGGAATCTTGTTTTTTCACTCCTACAGTAGAATGTTACTGATAGTGTCTGGCCAACAGATCCGAAGTATTTTGCGTAGACAACTGCTAATAAACACTAGTATCTTCTGGATAATGGCTTTCGTAATTCTCCAAGTTTCCGCCCCATACAGTAGAACTGTGTTGACATGTGTATTGAAAATTTTGATCTTGGTGTTGGTTGACAATTACAATCTCAAGGTTTAAGGGAAGATAAACAGTGTATACGCCTGCGCCATTGTGATCGATTCTGAGCCATATCACATAGAGTCTTCAACCATTGGTTACGATAGTCATGCGGACCCCAACCAAGTAGTCTGCCTCTACCAACATGGCTCAGACCAGAAGCTAGTGACTTCAAGCTCTGATGACACGTTTTGGTTTGGCCGTCCCTAACTTTCTTTCAGCCATCCCCTATACTAGTCAGCATAGCGCGTTGTGGTAATCGGCGTTTAGGAATACGTAACACGTAGCCCAACCATCCTAGTCGATGAAGATTCACAACTTCATCAACTGACTTACCATCATCATTCCCTAATATACTGCGTCTAACCTCACTATTACTTACCCGGTTATCCCAGCAGATGCGAGTAATATTTCTAAAGCATCTTTGGTCAAATACTAGTAACTTACGAGTATCTTTTACTCTTAATGGTCACGTTTCACAGCCGTAAAGTAGAACAGAGCGAACTGTTGTGTAGTATATTCGTCCCTTAATTGATAGACGAATATCTCGTCTTCGCCATAGATGACATAAGTTGGCAAAAGCCAAACGAGCGTTTTTAAAATCCGTGCTGAGATTTCGTCAAACACAAACCCATTAGGGTTGACCAGACTTCCGCGATAAGTGAAGTTGTCTATGCATTCGACTACTTGACTCCCTATCCTTAGTCCATGTGTTGACGTAGGCCAGTTCTGGATTAACAATTTACATTTAGAGGAGGAGAAACGCATTTCAAACATCCTGATATTGATACTCAATGCTATCAAAAGACTCTGCATTTTATCAGTATCTTCACCAAAAAGGACTATATCATTTGCGTATTCTAAGTAAGTGAATAGGTTTGTAAGTTAGTGAGTAATCAATCAAGTAAATAAATATGTAAGTAAGTAGGTAAGTAAGTAGGTGAGTAAGCAAGATACAAGTAAGTTAGTAAGTAAGTAGGTAAGTGAGTAAGTAGGTGAGTAAGTGAACAAGTAAGTAGGTAGGTAAATAGGTAAGTCAGTAAGTAAGTATGTAGGTAAGTAGGTAAGTAAGTAAGTGAGTGAGTAGGTAAATAAAGAGGTAGGGAGACTGCATACATACCTTGGTAACTAATTTTCAACTAGATAAAGAAATGATTACTACTCATTCCCTTTCATCATATATGTTATTCTTATATAACTATCGTTCTTGTATAATGAATATGCTTTTCTTTCCCCCCCCCTTCTTCCTAACATGATATCTACATCTAATCAAAGGAGAATGTTACATTAATACAAGAAATTGATAATTTACGCTCTGAACTTAAATTATCCCGTAATCATATTCATAATTTAGAAGCTATACTTGGTCTAAATCGTAAAAATGGTTATCAAACTAAACAATTATTAATCCAATTAAATAAATCTAATTTAGATCCTATACAACAATCTAATTATGATCAATTACAATATACTATTAAAGCACAACAAGATTTCATACATACATTACAAATGAAATTAAATCAAACTATTCAAGGAGATAATACAAAAGATTTATTAAAAGAATTACAATTAGCTATACATTCTGAACGGACGAAATCATCATCATCATCATCATCACTGTCACCAACATCATCATCATCATCATCATCGCCAGTAACCATGACAACAAATGTAATACAATCAAAACCTTATTCTGGTTCAAAGATCCTACCACCAATTAATCATAATAATAATAATAATAATAGATCAATAATTGAAAGTACAGATCAGAAAACATTTAAATCTGCTTAATATATATATATGTGTAAGTGTTCTTTTTATTTATATTTAATATTATAATCTAATAACTAGATCATCATGGGAAACTTGAAAACATTGGATAGTTGTTTCGTCCTAATATGGTACTTTTCAATAGTGCACATTCACAATTATTACAATCTTCAAAAAAAAAAAACCCAATTATCTGGATCATATTCTGCTACTTGTGGATATAAAAATTTAGAGAAGAGTATTTGATTTAATTAGTCTAAAGTAACGGATTATATGTTTTTTAATGATTGTCAGTTTTTATTATGAGCTAACAACAACAGGAGTAAATATCTTGATGTCATTAAAAATGTTTAAGTAATGAGCAACTATATTCCTGATAAGTCTTACTAATTGAATGTTATACTTGGTTCATAAGCTAGTCTCGTAACTTCCAAACTAGAACTATACAGTGATTTGAACATGAGAGAAAAGGTGTAAAATATATAAGAAGCACCTTACTCTAAAAGTTTCATTCATGTACAAAAAAAAATATAGAGTTTCTAGAGTCTTTTAGAAGTAGTTGGGTCTTCCCCGTAAAATTCTAGAATACTACAAAACATAGTAGTAGTGTAGTAATCATTCAATCAGAAACTCTACACATGTGACTTTTCAATTTCATGATCTTTCTAACAAAACTTCTAATGAATATTGATTGGATAAAATGCTTCTTAACGTCAATTGAAGCTAGATTACCATAGAAAACTGTCTAGTGCTTTCAGGTTTTCTATGATGGTCTAACTTCAATTGATTCATAATTTCAACTATATAAAATTACTACAAAATCTCCACAAAACCCCCTTTTGATAATAATTTCAATAGTTGAATTCATGAATTAATTAAAGTTAAAATACCGAAGAAAACCTGGAATCATTGGACAGTTGTTTTGTCCTAATATGGGACTCCTTAACAGTGCACAGTCATGACTACTACAATCTTCACAAAACCACTTTGTTGATAATAAACGTAAATAGATTGAGTGTTTGACACACAATAGCACTACAATATAAAAATCTAAATGTGACTGAAGGACAATTTCTTGGTGTTTGATGAATAAACAGTTACATGAATAGACGTTACTGTACATTGATAACAAAATAATCAATAATATGGATTTAAATAATGCGCCTTAAAGTCAATAATAGCAACTAAATAAAACTTTGAATGATAACTAGAATGAAAGAAGAGATAACGAAGAACATATACAAGATATTGTAATAGTTTTGAGTAAAACTTGGTTAGACATTAACACCATTGGATGTCGGTAGGCTCAGTATTCTAGTGGTTAAGTGCTGGCAAGAGAGACTAATAGGTCCTTGGTGCGAATCTCACGAGGCGGGATTGTGGATACGCACTGCCGAGGAGTCCTACAGTAGGATGAAACGTCCGTTTAATGCTTTCAGGTTTTCCATGATGGCCGTGCTTCAATTGACTCATGATTTCAACTATTGAAATTACTAAAACTTATTTGTTATTTTCTTACTAATGGATTGTAAAGCTTTTTTTCTTCCAAAAAAGAAATCACTTGAATACTTTTAACTGGTGAATGTATATAAATGATCAGTTAGAATAAATCTGAAACACAAAAAAATATAATTTAATATTGATGTGTTTATTTGGTATTGTTTATTTGAATCTTCCCATTGATGTTTACGACTGTAATTGATCAGTCTCTTGTTAGCATATATGCATTTCGTGTGGACTGCTTCGATATTACCTGAAGTCACAAGCCTTATAAAGCAAAGATGGATTGTAGCTAACAATGGAATTCAGGACTCGCGTTTCATCCTACTTGGGACTCGTCAACTGGATTTACATAGATCTCAGAGTTGTTATTCACTCTGAAACTCAATCCCAGTGCCGTTCGCTTCAAACGCTATCGTTTTATCCATTTAGATACTGAGTGGTGATAGTGAAGGGCACGGGGTTCGATTACCGGAGGAAACATTAACTCTGGGATGCAGGTGTATCTAACTGATAAGTCCCGAATGGGATGAAATGCATATTCTGGATTTCATAGCTAACCACCATCCATATTTGTTTATAATATTGATACAGTCAAGAAATAGATAAATTTTGATCACACTATCATATACAATAGCTTATATCGTTTTTTATCTTTTTACATAGGTCCATGTTGAAGATTTCTGGAAAACACAAGATAATGAAATGTTTCCAAGAAAATGATTTTACTTTTAATGTTATGAATAATTTATCCATTTATTATGTATGAACTTATTGAAAACAAATTTAAATAGATAATATTTGAATGAAATTGAACAAGAATCTATTTATTTGTTTATATTGTTATTATTAATGTAAACATCCAAGAGGTAATTCTTGGAGTTCTAGTGAGAAATCTTGACTAATGGAGCTAATTCGTGTTAGATATTAAGCAGTTACCCACCAAAGTTAATGAGGGATTGTTGAACAATATTATGGATTGGTGGAAGTTAGACATTAACAGAGTTAGATGTCTCCTCAGTGGTCTAGATGATAAGCGTTAGCGTGTGGAATCAAAGGTGCAGAGTTCGATTCCCTCATGTAGGGGGAAGGGATGAGCATTTCTGAGAAGACTCATATTAGGATGAAACGGTAGTTCCAGGTTTTCAATGGTGGTCTAACATCGATCGATCTATAGTCTCAATTAAAACTCAACAATCTTCACAACCCTTTACTGATTATATTTCATATTGTTGAACCAACTAGAATGGGGGATGAAACTTTCAGGTTTTTGCGAAAAATTCAAATGTTGGACAATAGAAATACCTTGATATGTTACTCAAAATATTAAAAATGATTATAAAAAATTACTTTTACTCATCATACGATAAAGGTCGATAGTTTTAGGCTTAATGCTAATATCCCTAACTCCGAACCATAAGTCTTTAGTATTGAAGCATACCTTAAACTGGTAGAATGAAATTTTGTGAATCAACTAATCAGATAGTATCTTATAGATTTTCACTCAAAATTCATTTATTCGCATAAGACGAAGAAGCATTTTTACATTATAAGTGATGTTAACTCGTGAAAAAAAACCTTAAACCTTAACTCGAACCCCAAACCTAATCATAAATACTTAAAGTTAAATAGAAACAATTCAGAGATCTATTTCGGTCATTGTAAGGGTTCAACGAAACGAATAGTCTCTATTCATAACATTGAATTTACATGTTGTTGTTTCTTCAATCCACAATCAAAGTAACCTGTAGATGATACAAATCGATTGAATAATTGTGTAAAATCTATTTACTCTTTATAAGCAAAGATGGATAGTGGCTAGCAGTGGAATCCAGGATACGCGTTTCGTCCTATTTAGGACTCATCGGTTAGATGTATCTGCATCTCAGAGTTGATGTTTACTCTGGGACTCAAACCCAATACCGTTCGCTTCAAACGTTATTGCGTTATCCACTCAGCTACTGAGTCCTGATAGCCACTTGCTTATGCAATGTGGTGAAGTTTAAATCCACAAAGTATTGCTTGTAGCGAAAGGTACTGGGTTCGAGCTATTTCAACTGTTAGTCAGTCAGTCAGTCAGCTACAACGTAAGGCCACGCACATATATGCATCGGTTCAAGTTACCACATCTCATTACCACAACAAGATGAACACCTAATTCATAGAAGTAATTACTTCAGTGGTACTAATATATAAAAGAAAGGTTGTGTATAAGGATATAATAAAGGAAAAGAAATTAGTTGATAGAAAGAAAGATATAAAGCAATTTTAATCTCACAGTTTAATGAAAGACAAAGAGTGTATACACCTACGCCATTGTGATCGATTCTGAGCCATGTCATCAATAGTCTCTAACCATTATTTACGATAGTCACGCGATCCCTAACCAAGTAGTCGTCATCTACCAACAAGGCTCAGACTAGAAGCTAGTGACTTCAAGCTGTGATGCCACGTTTTGGTTTGGCCGTCCCTAACTTTCTTCCAACCATCCCCTATACTAGTCAGCATAGCGCGTTATGGTAATCGGTGTTCAGGCATACGTAACAACACGTGGCGCAACCATCACAATCGATGAAGATTTACAACCTCATCAACTGATTTACCATCATTCCCTAATACCCTGTGTCTAACCTAACTATTAATTACCCGGTGTTCCCAGCAGATGCTGGAAAGTGTGAAGTATTTCCATCACGAGAATGATGTAATATTCACTTATAAATCTTTGCCATATTATACTGATAGTATTTAGAATCAATGTTACTAATATTACAGAAAGTTAAACAGTTTCAACAAGAATCTATAAATCATAAGATAACATGTATCTTACGGTTATGCGATTTATAGACAATAAAGATGTATTAAAACAAACAAAATTAAATAACTTAATGAAATATCTAAATAGCATTAACAGGTAGCCCAGATGTTCAAGTAAACCGCTCAACTAACATAGTAATAGAGTGGTATATTGCTTAAGAGCTGCTAATTCAATCAAAATATTCTATTGTCAACTATATCACTTCAAACCAAGTTGACCGAGGTTCACCAATTACTTTAATAAAATAAAAATTAACCGATATTTTGAAATGATTCGAGTATGAATTTAATTAAATCTAGAATTTAAAAAAAACTTGATTGGATAAGATATAATGATGCTTAAGGGAATCAAGGTGAGACTATAATTTATAGACGACCATTAAGCCACGTTAAAGTGATCTTGAGAATATCCATCATCTGACTAAGACTAAATCAGTTTCAGTTTCAGTTTGGAAAGGACAGGAGGTTTGATGACCTGCGTTAGTCCTGGCAATGATGGTCTCTCAGCTGATCCAAATTTCTTTTGAAGGAGTTGACGGATGGAGCCTCAACCACGTGCTGAGGTAATGAATTCCACTTGTTGATTATTCGATGGGAAATTCGGTAGTCAGCTGACAAGTAATTCGTTCGGGGCTTGTGAACTTTTTTGGAGTTTCCTCGTAGATTTTCTGTTTTGGAAGACAAGAAAAATGAGGGCATATCAGGTGCAAATTTGTCATTAAGCAATTTGAAAACTATAATCAAATCGCCTCTGATTCTTCTATATAACAGCGGGAATAGGTTTAGCTTGGTCAGTTTAGTACCATACAGGAGCTTCGCTATTCCGGGAATCAGCTTAGTTGCTGTTCTCTGAACCCTTTCCAAGAGCTCACTGTCTTTTTTAGGCAGGGGCTAGCTGCTTGTATGCAGTACTCAAGTTTAGGGCGTACGAACACTGTATACAAAGTCAGAAACGTTTTAGCGTCAAGATGCCTAAAAGCCCTGCGTATGGACCATAAAGTCCTAAAACCTTTGGTGGCTATTGCACGGCAGTGTGCAGTAGTCTTTAAGTCTTGACTAACGATGACGCCTAAGTCATTGTGTGCCTGAACAACAGGTAACTCAGTGTTATTCATTGTGTATGTATCTGTACCCTGGTGGCCAATATGCATCACAATACACTTGGAAGTGTTTATCGGCAATTGCCAGGTTTGGGACCATACAGATAATTTCTCCAGGTCATTTTGAAGTTCTAAGCTATCGCCCTTGCTTTGTATCGCTGTCCAATTATGAATGACAGTTATGAATCACTATGAGGAATTAGGATTGTGATTTAGAATTAATGATTAAGGTTAGGAATGAGATTTGGGAATTTCATCATGAACTGACTTCAATTATAACCATGAAATGGTACTTAGACAAATGAGTGGATGAATTTCAATGTTTCGTCTAACAAACAATTGTGAAATCCTTCAATACAATAAACAAAATCAACAAAGACTAATGAAATAAAATATAAAATCACTAAAATATCAACAAACCACACCTAATTTAATATTCATCGAACGCCTATTAGTCACTGCTCTCAAGAGGTATTTTAAAGAGTTATACAATTAATCGAGTAACATGAGAATAATTGTTGAAGCGACCAACCGTTTGTCTGTCCCAATACACTCAGTACATATGTGGTCGGAGAATGTGATTTGATGGCGAGTGTACGATGATGGAGCGCTCTGACCGTCGATCCGACTGGCACTTGTGTATCGGGTGTATGGTGATCATCGGTGGTGTGTTGAGTGTTAATTATTGTCGATGTTGTTGATGGTAGGGGTGAAAACCTACTGCCTCCAGGGAGGATCGAACTCCCGACCCCTGGTTTACGAGACCAGTGCTCTACCACTGAGCTATAGAGGCGCGCGTTCCTCTCCTCAAACAGCACTACCGCACCACCTCACAACAACAACATCTTGCACACTGAACCAACACACAGGATTCTCGGTTCTCACACTCATTCATCACCACATCAATCTCACGACAACACATGCCCATCACATTTAAACACTATTTCTCGTCATCCACACCTCAATACTTATTTATTGACAAATAAACACACAAAACATTACTCAATCAATTCACCCGTCAACCAAACAAACTGACAATCGAACAACTATTCAGTCAGTTAGTCAATCA